AGGGGGGGGGGAGGGCAGATAGAGAGGTACTATTGTTTATAATCTCTTGAAGAAGTGTGAATCTCTCAATGTTCTATACCTCCAATATACAAAAACATAATAATGGCATTTGATAGCAAATATAAAGTCAGTTCTGGTTCTCTTTCATGTTTGTGCAGAAAATGAAGGACCTACTCGGTGTTTATACGGTATTGTTAAGGCTCTTCGTTGTTTCATGCCAGAGATGTGAGTTCGATTTCCTCGAATGGACACCATTAACGAATGCCTCTCAGTCCGCGCAATGCCCATGTTAAAATTGAAATCCCCTCTGCGTAAGAATGCTCTGACAGTCGGAGGACGTGTCAACATTTAATCAAGGGATTGATAATATTATACATTTTCAGAACATGAAGACAGTTTTGCCATTGGATTATATATTTCAAATAACACACATGCAACGAAATTTAGCATCATGACGTAAAGTATTACTTCCCACTGACGTCTAAAAAGATGTTTTTTTATCGCCCGTTTTACCAAAACTTGGTTTTTCTCTATATTTTTTAAAAATAACTCCACCATAATCTTCATGAAATGTTCACAGGATAAAGGGAAGAGGTAATACTAAATAATTTTGTTGAATTTTTGTGATATGCTATAGACTTTTGTTGGTGGTGTCTGGAGTGTGGATTTGCTCAATTTTATGGCAAACTTGAATACTACCTCAGAAAAAAGTCATTAAAAAAGTCTACTTCATTTTTAAAAAAATTAAGAAAATCAATTTGTGGTTCAAATATTTGCTAACTAATCTATTTTCATAAAAAATAAGTGCAGTATTTATTACGTAAGACATGTCAATAAAGTCAAATACGGCTGCCGTAGTCTTGGAAACGAAACTTTTTTCTCAAATTCGATTGCAGATTTTAAGACTCCTTACTGTGCTTGTTATATGTATGAACTTTGATAAAACCCTTACAGGAGAAGTAAAATTCATCAGAGCAACGATATTTTTGTTAGTTTGTTGTTATTCAATGCATCTTTAGAAATGTGATAGAGCAAACGGAAGGGTTTTTATGGACAACGTCAAGACATAAGAATGAAAGAAAATATTTTGTGACCGATAAGGGAAAGTTGGACCTCGTCCAGATTTGAACAAAGATCCTCCGCCTGTTCATCAAGTACGTAGCCAAATGTGTCTAGCTGACAATCTTTAGTCCCGGGGCGCACCTATGAAAGGGTTAAACTAAATGGACACCCTCATTTTCATCCTCGTCAGGATCTTCTTCAGTATCGCGTGCAGCTTGTATTGGAGCCATTAAAATCCTCGCCACAGTTCCAAGAGCAGACCTGAAGCTCGGGTTTTCCCGGAAGCCCATTGTTCTGCACAGCGCATCGCTCGCATCCCTCAGTTTTTTCTCCAAGTTTCGTGTTGCTTCCTTGGCGTCACGCCGTTCTTTCAGCAGAGCCATGTGGCTCTTCACAGTTGTCTCCATACTCACTACAGTCTGCTCTAAAGTCTTGAGTATCCCTGAACCTTTATCCATTGCAACAATGTCCCCTCTGAGACGATTTAGTTTCACTAGTATAGATTCCAAATCTTTGTCAAGGCCAGTAACGTTCTTCTTTCTGCTAATTTTCGAGGTGGCCATAGAAATATTCATCCTCAAAAAATCTATCTGTCCCTGAAGCCTTAGCCTCATAGCTGAGGCATTCCTTTTCACAATCAGCTTTTCTTGCTCTCTCTTAGCAGCAGTAAATGCCTCGGAAGTATATCGTTTCCCTTTTGTACGGAGTGAGTCAGTCAACGCGAATAATCGCAGTCTTTGCTCTTCCTGTTTCTCTTTCGTGAGGTTGCTGAAAAGAACACAACGATAGTTAACCTCTTCCACGAGTCTCTTCAAGCCCCCTTGCTGTTTATTTATCCACTCCATGAAACTGCGAGAAGTGTTTTTTACGCTATTTTGAAGTTCGAACTGCTCACCGTGCGTAAAAACAAGAATACAGAAATCCTTTATGAAATCTTGACCGAAAACACTCCTGAGCATGGAAACCGTGTATACCTCCTCCTCGGTAAAACGGTTTCCAAATTTTAAAACGAGAATCAAAGCGTGGAAGCCATCGGAGCATACGGTAATAGCTTTACTCATCTCGTTAACAAACCTCTCTTCAGCGACAGAGCGCTTCACGCGTGTGTCACATACTCCTGGAACGTCCACGACTTTGACACACACATCCTCAAAAGAGGCGTACGATGACTGATTGAAGATAGTGTCGGATTCAGCGTCTTCGCTTGTGGCAAAGGCAGGTCTTCCCAGGATAGCGTTTCCAGTTGAGCTCTTTCCGTTTCCAGTTTTGCCAAGCAGAAGTATGTCAATCTCCTTAGCTTGTTTTTGTTGTCGAGCCGCCATTTTGCCTGAATCGAGAGAGGATGAAGGTGAAAATTACACCGATAAAAATGCAAGATAATATAAAAGCTTCAAAACCTCTTAGGTTTCAGAAATTTG